ATAGCAACAATTCCAACAACTATAACCCTAGTTGGAGGAATCATCCAGGTTTTTTATGGAGTAATAATCAAGTCCAACCTTCTGCTCCAAGACAATCATACCCAATAGGCTTTCAGAATCAAGCTCCACCACAACAAGAAAAGAAGTAGAATTTGGAGGAGTTACTTTCTAAGTACATATCACAGAATGAGACAAGGATGAACAGTACGAAAGTATCAATCCAAAACCTGGAAAACCAAATGCGTTAGCTTGCTCATGCCATTAACAACCTNGCATTCTAAGGCCCGTAATTCAAGCAAACAGTTTTGAGATCAAGCCGGGTACCATCCAAATGATTCAAAATTTAGTTCAATATGGGGGTTTGCCTGACGATGACCCAAATGATCATTTGATGAGTTTCATAAAGATTTGCGACACGTTCAAGTATAACGGGATTTCTGAAGACGCGATTAGACTCCGACTTTTTTCTTTCACATTACATAATAAGGCAAAGAGTTGGTTGCATTTATTGCTGTCGGGTTCTATTATCACATGGACAGATTTAACTCAAAACTTTTTAGCTAAATTCTTTCCACCAACTAAAACTACAAGAATGAGGAACGACATCACATCATTCGCACAACATGATTCTGAGACTCTTTATGAAACTTGGGCTCGATTGAAGGACTTACTCTGAATATGTCCTCACCATGGTATTCCTAAGTGGTTACAAGTTTAGACATTCTACAACGGGTTGTTTAGTGCTACCCGGACTAGTATCGATGCAGCTATAGGTGGGGCATTAATAGGGTAAAATTTTGATGAAGCTTACGAGTTATTGGAGATGATGGCTGCTAACAATTAATAGTGGCCCTTTGCAAGGATCAATCAACCAAAGGTAGCGAAAATTTATGAAGTTGATATAGTTACTACATTGGCTGCACAGGTTGCTACATTGACAAAAAAGATTGATGTTTTAGGGGTGCAACCTATTCAAAGTGTGACAGTTGTTTGTGAATTGTGTGCTGGGAATCATTCAAGCGATCAATGTGCAATTAATTCGAAGTTAATACAATATATTGGTAATCACAACAGGCAACAATATAGCAACAATTCCAACAACTATAACTCTAGTTGGAGGAATCATCTNATTCGTCAAAAGAAGCTACCACCAAAGCTTAAAGATCCGGGTAGCTTTACAATTTCAGGCACAATAGGTAGTCAATTTTTTGAGAAAGCATTATGTGATTTGGGAGCTAGTATTAATTTGATGTTGCTCTCAATTTACAAGAAATTGAGGTTGAAAGAACCAAAANGGCCCGTAATTCAAGCAAACAGTTTTGAGATCAAGCCAGGTACCATCCAAATGATTCAAAATTTAGTTCAATATGGGGGTTTGCCTGACGATGACCCAAACGATCATTTGATGAGTTTCATAAAGATTTGCAACACGTTCAAGTATAACGGGATTTTTGAAGACGCGATTAGACTCCGACTTTTTTCTTTCACATTACATAATAAGGCAAAGAGTTGGNTTTTTAAAGGAACCAGAAGAATGATTTCGGGTTGATTTGGTAGAAGATTTAGTGAATGGGGTATTCGTAGGAAGTGGTATTTCAAATCCTCTTGAGAACGACAAGCTATATAAAGAGGAGGTGTTCCCGCAGGGAGCGGCTAAAGTCAAGGAAGCCAATTCGAAAAGAACTTTCAAGGAGAACGGACAGAGACTAAAGCAATATTGGGGTGACGACTTTGATCGTGAAAATACCTCAATTACCCTTGCCGACCCGGGATGAAATAGGAAGTAGTCAGGTTGAAGACTATAAAACAAGCGCTAATTAGGAGACAACCCGAATTTTAGTTTAAGTTTTATTTCATTTTATTTTAATTTAGTTTTTTATAAAAAATAATGTAGTTAGTTAGTTAGTTATTGCATTTTAATTGGTATGTCAATTGTAGATCCCAAGGATTGAACACAAAGTATGAGCACACACAAAGCCTTACTAGGAGCTAAGAACAGCCCACCTATGTTTCTCGAATACACTCCCGACTCATCGGATGACGAGGACGTTGACGATAATGCCAACTAGCGAAGTTTCAGGGAAGTCCTCTGTCTTAATTTTTTCTACTTTATACATTAAGGACAATGTTTAGTTTAAGTGAGGGGGTGTTTTCTTGTTTCCATTTGCATTAGTAGGTATGCATTTAGATAACATGTTTGCATGTAGATTACATGTTTTAGTACGACTTGAGCAATGGGTTGATTGACTTTGATCATGGCCAATGATGAATAGAATTAATTGTCAATTTAAGGGAAATTGGTGAACATGTTGAGTTTGTAGTTTGACATACTAGTTGGTTTTACACTGTTTGTGATCCTTTCGTTCATAAGCACATATCCATCTGTTTAGTTAGTTATTATTTAGAGAATTTATTTAGTTAAATGCTTGTGGGAGATATCATTGAAACTTTAAAAAACTTATTTAAGCATAATTCGAAGTGAATTGAGGTATTCATATAATTTTGGGAGAAATATTGGTTATGATGGGTTAGTGTATAAAAAAAAAAAATTTAATAATTATTTTGATTTGATCCTTCATGAGTTAGATGAAAAAAAAAATAGGAATACGAAAAACAAGAAAGGGGCATGTGGTGGGTAGAGATGAAGCGTAAAACGTACTTACTCAAGAAAAGGTGAAATGGAGTGTAAAACGCACTCGCTCAATAGGAGGTGAGATGGAGCATAAAATGCACTCACCAAATGAAAAGAAAAAAAGAGAGAGAAAAAAAAAATATCTTTGGTCCTTCTATTTATATGTTTGCCTTAATGAGTGGAGTTTGATGTGAAACATAAGTTTATAGAGTTGATATTGAGTATCTCCTATGAAGCATTTGATTACGTAAATATATTTGGGTGATGACTAGATTGATAGTTCGGATATGTAGATGTATTTAAGGGGTCATGAGCGGAGGTAAAACTAAGGGAGTATGTTAAATTGATAGACTTTGCATTGTTTTGAAGTTTCCCGTAAATTAATTGTTTGTAGTAACTTTTGGGGCCATTATTCAGATTCGTATTGATCCATTGTTTGAGTAGTTGGTTGTTGGTTAATTTTTATAATTTTTATTCTTAGTATTTTGCTTGAGGACAAACAAAGATTCAAGTTTGGGGGTATTTGATGGATGAGTTTTATATCTACAAATTGAATACTTTCGGCTTAATGAAATTGTAAGTTTTTAATTATTTTATGTTCATTTTTATTTGTTTAATGTATTTTGATGTTATTTTGTAGAAATGATCATTTAGAAGGAATCATGATCATTTGAGAAGAAAAAATGTCAATTTGGAGCCAAAAAGTAAGATTTTTGGAAGAGGAGGCTAAAGGGCATTTTAGGCTTGAAAAGGGGGGCGCGCCCCAACGTCAACTTACTGTCCAAAACAGCGCCTTTGTGCCATTTTGGGTGCCCCCGCGCTTGTGTTGGTCCGTGTCTCAAATTTTGCCTTATTTTTGACTCGAAATTGGACTCTAAAGCTACATATATGTTAGGGTTTGTGTGGGGATAATATATTGACTTTTGGGAGCTGAAAACATCTGAAAAAACCAAGGAATTGGAAGAAAATTGAAGACAAGAATCGAAGGAATCGACACAAAGAAGATTGGTCGTGAAAGCTAGAGAAGGATTGAATATTACACTTAAGTTTTCATTTTTTTCTCTTACTTTTATTTCTTGATTTTCTAAGATGTTGTTTAATTTTAGAATTATGTTTTTCAATTACATTATGAACTAAATTGTTATTAAGATTGCAACGGAACCTAATGTCTAGTTAAATTGATCTACTTTCGTTTCTAGTTCTATTGATCATAAATGAGTTGTTTGTCATATTTTGTGCTTAATATATAAATGTGTGGCGAACAATTAATTTGATTCCTTAGATGAAATTGGGAGATGAATTCTAGGGATAGATCTGAATATGATGACATGCGTCTGGTTAATTGTTCTTAGAATTGAATTGTTGGGTTTGTGTATAGGATAGGAATATACCTATATGTCGTGTGTAACTTTTATGAGAGTTTGAACTTAATGAATCTATTCCAACTTATTTTGTATAGGAATATAATAATTTAATTGGGAGAGATAATTTTATCTAACTATCGAAAGAGGTTTGATAAATAACTTTGAGTTCTCATTTAACAACTTATTTTAATCAATTGACTGGAAAGAGAGTAGAAAGATTTAGACGAAGTATTAGGGAAAGTTGTAATCTTAACTTCTTTCATCTGGTAAATTCAACCCTTAATTATTAATTTAGATTTAGTTTTAAAGTAGTGATTTCTTAGTCAATTCCAATTGTTTAAATAAAATTGAATTGATATAAAGTTAGTACTTGGATATTATTAGTAATAATTCTCCGTGGGAACGATACTCTACTTGTCACTTTATTACTTGTTGATCGTGTATACTTGCACGTAAATTGTTAATATAAAATTCAGACAACAAGCTCCGGGAGAGGTGTGCTCTGGGAGAAGTACATTAGCTAGGAGAGAGAAAAATTATGTGTGTATAGAGAGGTGTAGAGTGGTGTAGTGAGATGCCCCTTCCATGTGGAGAAGGCTTACAATTTATAGGCATGAAACCTTTAGGTAAGGCCATAACGTGAGGGTGAAAGCATTAATTCTTCAAGGAGGATAGTTACAAAAGGTAAGTACAATTACAGTTGCCTAAATCTTTGAAAGTGGGTATCCGGATGATCTCTCTCCCACTTGTTCTAATATTCTTGGACTCCTTAAATCTTAGACTGGGTTGGATTGATGCATCGGACTTGGCTTGTCTTTTAGTTGACTCGGGCTTGCTATATTTGTTGGTCCTGACCTAGTTGAATTTGGGCTCATCATTTGCCCCCATGCCCCATGCCCCTATTGCTTGCAAGAGAAGGGGGTTGAGGATATGAGTGAGCTCTCGAATAGATAGAAGGTATTTTGCATCCCACAGCTCATCTTTTCTTCGTTCTGCAACTGCACATGGGTGTCAAGAAGGTGATGGATAGCTATGGCCTTGGCTCGGGTGACGTCATTCTTGTTTCCAAGGACCTAAGTGACACCATCCCAGCTTCCAAGGACTTGGGCGGCGCCAAACCAACTGCAAAGGCCTTGGGATTACTTGGATAGGAGGATTTGACGATGCCAAAGAGGTTGGAGGCATAGGAGTTTGCATAAGTAGGGGACCCAGGCAGCGGCCATGGCAAGTGTGGGCTGAGTGACGACGACGTTAAGACTGAAGATGAAGGTGAAGGTGACACTGTGCTTAGAGGGTGGAGGCATAGGAGTTTGCACAGGTAGAGGACCTAGGCGGTGGCCATGGCAGGTGTGGGCTGAGTGGCGACGACGTTGTGACTGAAGACGAAGGTGAAGGCGAAGCCGTGCTTAGATGACTGAGCAGCGCTGGGCTAGGCTTGGGCACCCCAGGATTGGTATATGTAGGCTGGAGACGACAGCTGGCATGGGCACTGGTAGGCTACTGGCGATGCCAGCATGCTACTAGGCGACGCCTTGCAGACGCCAGACTGGGTGTTGGCTGGTGCTAGATGTGGACCCCGTATATGTGGGCAATACCTTGGAGTAGAAGGCGATGCCAGAGAGGCCTAGGCATAGTTAGGAGAGGGGAGGGCGTGCTAAGCGTTGGCTGGAGTATTAGAAAATCATGAAAAGGCGATAAAACTTTGAACGACCATAATTTTGCACTCGGTTGTTCATTTGAGGTAATTTTTTTTTTTTGAATTTAGGTATTTTTTTTAAATACAAATTAGTAAAATTGATGGTGGTGGGAAATTACGTTCTTGCAGGCAGCTATTAGGCATTTATGGGCAACGGGTTGGCATTCTGGGTTTTTGTCAGAGATGGAGATTATGATGGCTTTTGACTATGCTGGTTCTTGACCTTGTCTCTGATTACAGGCGCTCCTGTTGATAGAGCGATGATGGAGGTGGAGGTTCTCTATGCTTCTAGGGCAGCGTTATCCCTTTTTCTCAAGAGGGTGAGATTTTATGCCCCCAGTGCATTTTGACTGAAGTCCAAAGGCAAGGTTACTTCTTGGGAGTGGGATCTGGTGGTGCCCCCACTCCTTCCCAAACTGGGACTTCTATGTGCACTAGAGCTAGCTTTTGTACCACACTAGAATTTAAGACTCTATTACAGTCTTCTATGGGGACCGTAGCTCCATATAGCTGCCCTACTTCTAGAAGTGGTTCGGTACCCATGTTTCTATATGATTTTAGCCAATGAATGACTTTGGAGGTTTGTGACTCCTAGGGATATCAGAGAGGTTAGATCTCGAGGTCTAGATGACATTATCAATACCGCAATGGAGGGGTTTTCCATGTCTTTCTTCTCAACTTTGATTTTGTTCCAGCCTCCTTTTCTTCATATTTTGCTTTTTGGATTATTGTAGGTGACTGTTGTTTTTCCCTTCCTCTTTTCAAGAATGATCAAATTTGGAGAGGTATCCAGGGATCTGGCAAAAGAGAGGTGGGATTCGAGAGATTGCGGAGGAGCAGTTGAGGCTTGCTCATGAAACAGTTGCACCTCTTGAGACTGAGCTTTTTGGCATCCTACAAAAGGGCCGAGAAGCGAGAGACTGGTAAAAAGACTGTCTGTGTAAGAGTAGAGTCAGGGCTGCGAACGTCCCGCGAGAGGTTCACAAAGTTGGAGGCTGAGCTACTTATAGATCAGGAGAGGGCTACTGTGATAGAGGCTTATAAGGAGACTACCTACGCGAAAGCAGAATCAGAGCTGCGAATGTCTCATGAGAGGGCTGCTAAGATGGAGGTTGAGCTACGTATAACTCAGGAGAGGACTTCCGTGGCAAAGGCTTATATGGAGACTACCTACACGAGAGCAGAGTCAGTGCTGCAGATGTCATGTGAGAGGTTCACAAAGCTGGAGGCCGAGCTATGTATAGCTAGGAAAAAGGGCTGTCGTGGAAGTGGCTTATAAAGAGACTACCTATGTGAGAGCAGAGTCAGAGCTGCAAACGTCCCATGAGAGTGTCGCAAAGCTAGAGACCGAGCTACATATAGCTTGGGAGAGGGTTGTAGTGGCAGAGGCTTATAAGGAGACTACTTGTGCAAAAGCAGAGTCAGAGCTACAGACGTCCCATGAGAGGGCCGCAAAGTTGGAGGCCGATCTACGTATAGCTCGAGAGAGGGCTGTCGTGGCAGCAGCTTATAAGGAGACTACTTATGCAAGAGTAGAGTTAGAGTCGCAACGTCCCGTGAGAGGGCTGCAAAGTTGGAGGCCAAGCTACGTATAGCTAGGGAGAGAGCTGCAGTGGCAGAGGCTTATTCCATTGAGATAAAGATGAAGAGGGTGGTTGCTGAGAGGGCCATTGTAGGCGCCTTTATTAATGGTTATGAAGAGGTTGACAGATTTTCCTACTTGTTGATTTCTATGGCTTCGTTCCATATGAGAAACCAGGGGTAGATGGTAATGGAGAAAGCCTTGATGATAATGGCTCAGGGAACCGTGACTGATCGTCAGGAGTATGACGACTTTTGTCTTTTTTTCTACCTTATTTTTAGGTCATGTTTTGACTTTTATAAGTTATTTAAAAACTTTATGAAATGAAAGCAAGACAGTTCTGGACACAATAATCTTCGCAGAGTTTTATTTCATAAAATAATAAATAACAGAATAAATCGATTGAAATAATAAAAGACACATAAAATGAGAGCCAATTGCTTGTACTCGTTATAGTTCTTCAAGTGTTCGATGTCCTATAGGTGGGCCAAGACTTTCCTGAAAGAGTTGGAGTCGCCTGTTCCTCTTAGCCCTCAAGAGATTGTTTGAATTTCTTTGAGGTATTGCTGGCGTCCTTTATGGTTCTAGTCCCAACCAAGTGGCAGATTTTGTCCTCTGCCAGCAACGTACTGCCTCAACTGGCCGTGCTATATGAGCTCCTCGATCTGCCTTTTAAGATCAAAGCAGTCGTCAGTATCATGGTTGTGGTCGCAGTGGAAACGAAAGTACTTGTTCAGGCTCCTATGTTCTGGGGCAGTCTTCATATTTTCTAGCCAACGTACTGTAGGATCATCCTGTATTTGGAACAGGATATGCTATACGGAAGCATTGAACAGCGTGAAGGCTTGCTGCTCTCTCAGAGGCGGGGGACCAGAGGGGTCCTTGACAAAGATTCTATCTGTCCTATTCCTTTTGTTTTCTACTTCCCGCTTGTCCTCTCGCCCCCCGTAGGAGGACTCACCTCGTCTGGACTTGGTGACATCCTCGGCATTCATGTACTTTTGTACCTTTGAAGGCAACTCTGACATACTGGATGATGATTTTTTCAGGATAGAGAATATGAAGTTGGAGGAGCGCAGACCTATAATAAAAGTGATCATGGTTATCTTATCGTCTGGCTCCTCAATCTAGAGAACATCCTTATTAAAACAAATGAGGTAGCTCCTAAGGCTTTCATTCTAGTCTTATTTGATGGTGAGCAGGTGGGTAATCGACTTCTGATGTTGACGTCCCCCAATGAAGTGGGAGACAAAGGATTTGCTCAAATCCGTGAAGGGGTGGATAGAAGATGGTTTGATCTTCGTGAACTATTGTTGAACAAACCCCTTCAAGGAGGTAGGGAAGGCTCTACATATGATCTTATCAGGCATGTTATAGAGTTGTATGAGAGATTTATACGTGTCAAGATGATCTAGAGGGTCTTTGGTACTGTTGAAGATCTTGATGGCAGAAATCTTGAACTTCAAAGGTAGGGGTAATTGACAACNATACGGAAGCATTGAACAGCGTGAAGGCTTGCTGCTCTCTCAGAGGCGGGGGACCAGAGGGGTCCTTGACAAAGATTCTATCTGTCCTATTCCTTTTGTTTTCTACTTCCCGCTTGTCCTCTCGCCCCCCGTAGGAGGACTCACCTCGTCTGGACTTGGTGACATCCTCGGCATTCATGTACTTTTGTACCTTTGAAGGCAACTCTGACATACTGGATGATGATTTTTTCAGGATAGAGAATATGAAGTTGGAGGAGCGCAGACCTATAATAAAAGTGATCATGGTTATCTTATCGTCTGGCTCCTCAATCTAGAGAACATCCTTATTAAAACAAATGAGGTAGCTCCTAAGGCTTTCATTCTAGTCTTATTTGATGGTGAGCAGGTGGGTAATCGACTTCTGATGTTGACGTCCCCCAATGAAGTGGGAGACAAAGGATTTGCTCAAATCCGTGAAGGGGTGGATAGAAGATGGTTTGATCTTCGTGAACTATTGTTGAACAAACCCCTTCAAGGAGGTAGGGAAGGCTCTACATATGATCTTATCAGGCATGTTATAGAGTTGTATGAGAGATTTATACGTGTCAAGATGATCTAGAGGGTCTTTGGTACTGTTGAAGATCTTGATGGCAGAAATCTTGAACTTCAAAGGTAGGGGTAATTGACAACATCTACAATGAATGGGGTATCAATGCGCCTTACCAAGTAACCCACCGTCTCGGGCGCCTGTGCCTTGATGGCGTTGAGGGCATCACCAAGTTGGTTTTGCATCTCTATGATCTTTTCGTCCTATTGGTTGAGGACATCCTCCATTGGGTCGTTGTAATGGCTTTCATGATAGCATACTAGTTTTCTCCCTCGTTCTTGTGCGCAGGTATATAAGGAAGGGGAACATGTGAGCTTTTTGCACGCTGAAGACGGACTCTAGGGCGAGAGGTGCTCAAGCATTGTCCTCGGGCATTTTTTCATGAGGCTCCACAGTGGGGGGCGACTTGGGGCCCGGAGTGGTGAGGTTGTTGTGCTTCTCCCGTTGGAGGGAGTGGTGCTCCTCCTACAAGTTGAGGGGCAATGCCTCCCCAAGTGACATTCAGCTAAATGATTTGCTAGTTCTAGTTTGTCAGCAGCTACACGGTCTGTAAAAGTTATTGCCCGACCACAAGAGTCATCGCAATGGATGGTTTCGAGGGTACGAGAGAAGGCGGAGCCTCCTCCTAGGGGTCCGGGTTGTTGTCTCCCGGTTGTTGACTCATCAACCTGGTCGTGATTGCCATAGAGTAGAAAGGTAGTAAAAAACTTAGTCGTTTCTCATAGACGGCGCCAAACTGATAATGCACAAAATAGTCTTGTGCAAGATCAACAGTCAAGTGTGTGATAAGGTGTAATTAATGGACAATAAATAAATAAAAAATGACAGTAATGTAAATATTGAGTCAACACACAAATATATAGTGATTCGGTCCGAAAGACCTACACCACTCTAGAAAACGACAACGGTAGCCAGGGGGTCTTTATTGATGAATAAAGTAAGAGAAAGAAAGCTCTGGGAGAGGTACAACAGCTAGGAGAGAGAGAAGATATGATTATGTAGAGAGGTGTAGAGGTGTAGAGTGGTGTAGTGAGATGCCCCTACTATGTGGAAAAGGCTTATAATTTATAGGCATGAAACCCTTAGGTAAGGCGGTGACGTGAGGGTGAAGGCATTAATTCTTCGGAAAGGATAGTTACAAAGGTAAGTACAATTAAAGTTGCTTAAATCTTCGAGAGTGGGTATCTCGATGATTTCTCTCCCACGTGCTCTAATATTCTTGGACTCCATGAATTTTGGACTGGGTTGGATTGATGCATCGGGCTTGGCTTGCCTTT